TAGCAGATTAATTAATCTGCTTGTTTTATCTGCTTAGAACTTCTTTAAGTTTGTGTTTCACATGATATCATTTTCTCATCGTTTAGGGAAGCATTTACTATTTCCTTCTATCAAAGTAGTTTAAATGAAATTGAGATTTAATTCTAGGCCTGGAAAATGATCTGATACTCTTGTGCTATTCCATTTTTTATGGCACCTTAGTAATATCATTGAGAGTCTAAGATTGGTTGAATCACAGTTTACAGAGCTTTCCTAACATAGTGTAATGTATATTCATCTGAGTTTCAGGTTGCAAAAGCTCACCATTTATCCATTCAAAAATGTCTTTCACTTGGCAGTGTGGAATACATTTTAGAAAGGAGATTATAATATGAGCGGAATAATTTTCATTTTATCATTTATAATTTTAGTGTTGGGACATTGTTTTGTTTTCTTTCACGTGTTGGTAATGATAACTAGTGATTGCAAATATGAAGCATGTCCAATTTGACCGTGCTAGAAACTAGAAACCGAGGTCATTGAGCTTGGTTTTTCAAGAAAGGAGGAATGATAGTCTTCATGTCTTTTGCATTTTTATTTCACATTCATATTTCCATCCAGTTCTCTCATTGGTCTGACAAGTAAAAGAATGAATAGAGACAAATTTATTTTGGTTTTTGGTTTTCACATGCCATAATAATTTAAAGAGTGGAATAAGATGATTGCAAGTTATTTTTGGAATTCAAAATTTCTGGTTCAATACTCCAATTAGTCTAAAGCTGCAATTGGATCTTGGAAGTGCAGAAGGAAAAACCTTTCAGAGTCCGTAATCTATTCTTGATCTGACTTAAGATTTTGGTGTTTTATAATCATATTTTAAGCATGTGAATTAGGCATTTTTTGGAAGATTTAACCTGCAATCTGATGCAGATATATCCCTTCTTGGCAGGCTAATGTGATTCGTAAAACTACTGTACTGGATGTCATGAGGAGACTTCTGCAGGCAAGAGAAACTGTCATATGCTTTTTCAACGAGGGTGGCCTTATTGCCTAGGTAGCCAGGTTGTTTTCAGGGAAACTTTTACTTGAACGGACAAAGCTGCCCATGTTAGAATTTCTCCTAAGGGATCACAGAAGGACATTTTTATCCATTCATCATAAATTGTCCTGGCAAAAGCCAAGGCTTCCTTGACAATAGGGCCACCCTTTCAACAAAGCACTGGTAGGCATGATTCTGACAGATTCATTTTGCAGACAAAGAATATCATGGTCTCGTCTTATGCTCGGACAAAAGAAGCTAGTCAGGCGAAATACATATCAATATTGAATATTATTCAAGGAGAAGTAGACCCTACACAGGTAATGATAATTGTTATTATGATTTTTGAAATTTTCATGTGGAAACTAAATCAAGCGCTTTTAAGTCCTATCACATTGATTTGATCTTGCAAGGAGTTGTGAAGGGTATGCAAGTTATTTATTTTAATTGCTCACTCGCACATCAAATTCATTGAGATATATATTATATTCTAGAGTTGGCATTATGTATTTATTTTTAATGTGAAGTTTGTAGTTTTCTGTTAGGATGACAATGGTTTGATGAGTAACACTTGCTGTCCTCAAATCAGGTTCATGAAAGTTTGCAGAGAATACGTGAAAGAAAGCTTGTTAATTTTATTGAATGGGGCCCTGCAAGCATTCAGGTGTGCCTCGTAAAGTTATTTTTCTGTTATCTTGAACTCATTATTTTCTTTTTTATTTGAAATTACTGTTTAACTTTTAATTTTCCATTATTGCAGGTTGCTTTGTCCAGAAAATCTCCATATGTTCAGACTGCCCATAGGGTAAGATTTTACTTCTATCTGTCTGTGAGTTCCTTATTTAATTTTTTGTAGGTTTTCTATTCTTGAAAGGTTACAAGAAATCTGAAATTCTTTCTTTGTTTTTTTAGCTTGGTTTTACAAGTTTAGATATTTTATATTTTACATGGTGATGTTCTTATTATGGGAAGGTTAGTTATAAAAAAAAATAATAACCAAGGAAATATGTTGCGTTTTCCATTTATTAGGTCAGTGGACTTATGCTCGCAAGTCATACTAGCATCCGTCACCTCTTCAGCAAGTGTTTAAGCCAGTATGAGAAGTTGAGAAAGAAGCAAGCCTTTCTTGACAACTATCGGAAGTTCCCAATGTTTGCTGTAAGTTGCCTACCTCATTACTATCGTAATTATATTTCAGCTCTAGTTAGTCAATGTATTGAAGACTGTTATTGTTGTTGATAAATTCATTTCGTTTTCTAGTTAGTCAATGTATTGAAGACTGTTATTGTTATTGATAAATTCATTTCGTTTTCTAGTTAGTCAATGTATTGAAGACTGTTATTGTTATTGATAAATTCATTTCGTTTTCTGCTTCCAAAGCTCCGATGTTGTGTTACTAGAAAATGTTAATACCCTAGCGAATTACGTATTGGTACACACGTTTCGAAACATGGTACACTTTCGTTCTAAAACTGTAAATTTAGTGATCCAAAGTAATCCCAAAAGTTTTTAACAATATATTTTCTTAAATGTAACCTTAGGAGGAAAAAAAATCAAATATAATGAACTAAAATCTAAGGTGACTTAAGTTTTAACAAGACAAAAACATCAAAAATGAATATGCATATATATATATATAAGTTTTATTGGATACCTAATAGTTGAAAGAAAATTATTCTAGAAGTACTTTCAGTTCTGAAGTGTAATATATGTAAGTCTACCCTTATTGTTCCACATTTTAGAGCATGTGATATACCACGTTCCCATTCCTGTTCTTGTTCCCTTACCCGTTCCATGTACTAAAACGATCCACATTCCATGTAACATGGCTCCAATGTTTTGTCAAATGTTTGATTATCATATATCATTATAAACCAATAATTTTTTTTATACCTTATATAATTACGCTCAAGCTCATGAATAACAACTAAATATTTGACCTAAGATGGAACTGATGTTGAAAACTACCCAATTTTTTTAGCAGCATGTCATTGATTTCTGATGTACTCAACACCTCAGAGAAAACACATGATCAATATTCATCTTTTTGGGCAGGCTTCCTTTACAGAATGCTTGTATAATTGCACGTAAGTCTGATTCCAGTGTAATGTGAAACATGGACAGGACAATGATCTTTCAGAATTTGATGAATCAAGGGACATAATTGAGAGTTTGGTTGACGAATACAAAGCATGTGAATCCCCGGATTACATCAAATGGGGAATGGAGGTAAATCTCCCTTTGGCCCCTCTTTCTGCTGTCTGTAATTTGTTATAAATCTTACATTAATGGGTTTTATATATATTGAATTTATTCAGGATCCAGACCACATTCTGACTGGAGAAGGCAGTGTTACAGGAACAGTGGATCCAAAACTTGCAGTGTGAATTAAACAAGTATGTTACAGCACTTGTCCCTAGAATTCACTTGGGCTTATGCGTATTTATTGAAACTGAGTTCTTATTATGAATTGGTTCTCTCTCTCTCTCTCTCTCTCTCTCTCGGTATATGCATTGCTTGTTGAATGTTGATGTGAACCTACGTCTATACAATTCTAATATTTGAACTTTTTCGCTTTGTTTTTGTGGGATTAATACTACTGATGATCTATTCATGGTACTACCAAGCGGATACCCTTTGTGACCATTTGGACCCTTTTGTGTCAGATTCATTCAAATTCTCATGTCAGGGATACTGAGACATGACTAGATTTCATATTTCTTAAATGAATAAGATAAGGTACACACCATTTTCTACCTGCATTTTCTCAGTAGGCTGTGGAAAATGGGGTGTGCTCATAGCCCGACTCTTCGTTTGGGAACAGGCTTTTTTAGTAATTTTTTAACTTTTTGGCTAAAATGTAATGTAAAAAAAACTAATATGTTTGGGATCACTTTTTGGCTTTTTACGAAAAGATGTGCAAAAAGTAGAGAGAAAAGGGAATCTTTGACTTTTTGGTATGGGTTGTTAGCTTTTTGATTTTTTTAGTTACTTTTTGACTTTTTTTGTTAAAAGGGACACTTGCCAAACGAGGCCTAAATAATCCTTTTATTTTTTATTCGTGGTATGGTCAAACCCGAATGAGTTGGGCTTGGGTGGACAGTTTTGACATTATAACGAGACTGGTTTGAATACTTTTTGAAATGGCACAAAAACTTACCCAACCTTCCCCCTCCACTTCTGATAGTCCTCTATTAATTGACTCGTGGTGACAAAACTGAAAAGCACCCTTTAAAATAGTTCTTATTTAGAATCGCTTTGATCCCATGCACTTTTTTTCTTATTTTTTACCACACGGTTGAACAATGGTTCCCTCCATAAAAATTAGATTTGGATTATTTACTTTTCAAAGTCTTTTCTTTCAAATTGCTATGATGATGATATGTGACTTGCCTGTAATTTATTCATGGCAGGTTTCCCGGAGGGAACATAGTAAAATGGGGCTGATACCTTTGTGTTCTGGTTTTTGCCGCCATGGTAAACATGGTACATCTCGTTTTTTGGTGTTTTATCTGTTAAAATGAGTATATTGATTCTTATTGTATATATGGTTTTTAAAGTACTACTAAAGGCCTGTTTGGTAACCATTTCGTTTTCAGTTTTCAGTTTATATTTACAAAAATTTTAAAAACTGTCATAAAAACTTGTTTAATAAATTTTTTTTATTTATAAATGGTTGTTTCATTTTATAAATTTGAGAAAAAAACGTAAAAGTGTTTAGTTTTTAATTTTTTTTGCAATTAATTTTTTTTTCAAATAATTTATTTTCAATTATTATTTTTTTTCAATTAATTTTTTTAATTATTTTCTTCAAATAATTTTTTTTTCAAATAATTTATTTTCAATTATTATTTTTTTTCAAATAATTTTTTAAATTTTTTTTTAATTAATCTTTTTTTCAATTAATTTTTTTTCCCAATTAAAATTTTTTTCAATTATAATGTGTGTGTATAATTGCACATAAGTCTGATTCCAGTATAATGTGAAACATGGACAGGACAATGATCTTTCAGAATTTGATGAATCAAGGGACATAATTGAGAGTTTGGTTGACGAATACAAAGCATGTGAATCCCCGGATTACATCAAATGGGGAATGGAGGTAAACCTCCCTTTGGCCCCGCTTTCTGCTGTCTGTAATTTGTTATAAATCTTACATTAATGGGTTTTATATGTAATGAATTTATTCAGGATCCAGACCACGTTCTGACTGGAGAAGGCAGTGTTACAGGAACAGTGGATCCAAAACTTGCAGTGTGAATTAAACAAGTATGTTACAGCTCTTGTCCCTAGAAATCACTTGGGCTTATGTGTATTTATTGAAACTGAGTTCTTATTATGAATTGGTTCTCTCTCTCTCTCTTCGTATATGCATTGCTTGTTGAATGTTGATGTGAACCTACGTCTATGCAATTCTAATATTTGAACCTTTTCGGTTTGTTTTTGTGGGATTAATACTACTGATGATCTATTCATGGTACTACCAAGCGGATACCCTTTGTGACCATTTGGACGCTTTTGTGTCAGATTCATTGAATTTCTCATGTCAGGGATACTGAGACATGACTAGATTTCATATTTCTTAAATGAATAAGATAAGATACACACCATTTTCTACCTGCATTTTCTCAGTAGGCTGTGGAATATGGTGTGCTCATAGCCCGACTCTTCTTAAATAATCCTTTTATTTTTTATTCGTGGTATGGTCAAACCTGAATGAATTGGGCTTGGGTGGACAGTTTTGAAATTATAATGAGACTGGTTTGAATACTTTTTGAAACGGCACAAAAACTTACCCAACCTTCCCCCTCCACTTCTGATAGTCCTCTATTAATTGACTCGTGGTGACAAAACTGAAAAGCGCCCTTTAAAATAGTTCTTATTTAGAATCACTTTGATCCCATGAACTTTTTTTCTTATTTTTCACCACACGATTGAACAATGGTTCCCTCCATAAAAATTAGATTTGGATTATTTACTTTTCAAAGTCTTTTCTTTCAAATTGCTATGATGATGATATGTGACTTGCCTGTAATTTACTCATGGCAGGTTACCCGGAGGGAACATAGTAAAATGGGACTGATACATTTGTGTTCTGGTTTTTGCCGCCATGGTAAACATGGTACATCTCGTTTTTTGGTGTTTTATCTGTTAAAATGAGTATATTGATTCTTATTGTATATATGGTTTTTAAAGTACTACTAAAGGCCTGTTTGGTAACCATTTCGTTTTCAGTTTTCAGTTTATATTTACAAAAATTTTAAAAACTGTCATAAAAACTTGTTTAATAAATTTTTTTTATTTATAAATGGTTGTTTCATTTTATAAATTTGAGAAAAAAACGTAAAAGTGTTTAGTTTTTAATTTTTTTTGCAATTAATTTTTTTTTCAAATAATTTATTTTCAATTATTATTTTTTTTCAATTAATTTTTTTAATTATTTTCTTCAAATAATTTTTTTTTCAAATAATTTATTTTCAATTATTATTTTTTTTCAAATAATTTTTTAAATTTTTTTTTAATTAATCTTTTTTTCAATTAATTTTTTTTCCCAATTAAAATTTTTTTCAATTATAATGTGTGCGATCTCATTGTCATAAATAATAAAAATAAATATAAATATTTTAGGCCTGAACAAGTTTATGTTTTTAAATTTTTTTAAATATTTTGTTTAAACTAAACACGTTTGTAATTTATATTTTTTTAAAAATAAACAAAAACGGAAACGTTACCACCTAAGAGATTCCAGTCCATTCAAAGATTCTTGCCGTGTGGTATAGAGTACTGTCATGCATGTTATGCGGTTCCATTTACGTTTAGGTAGACAAATTGTTCAGTACGGTATCATATGATGATGAGAGTATATATATATATATATCTTCAAAAATGCTTTAGAGCTCTAATATAAGAGCTTTAATAGCTCTAATGGAAAGGTGGGTCACATCCTGATGTGATGTTTGTGCCTTGTTTTGTTTTGTTTTTTTTTTTTTTTGTTTTTTTTTTTTTTTTTTTGCTTTGACACATCATTAGAACTCAAATTAGAACTCTATATTTAGAGCTCTCTATCATTTCCCATATATCTTATGGTGCATGCATGTGGTGCGACTATGTGTCGAGGGATTGCATGTGTTGTCCTCGTCGTGTTATTTCGTACATATGGGTGTGGTATGTTCTCATTTTTCTTCCAACATTTGTAGTTCGTGCCAAGTAGTGACATGAAAATTTTTCAAAAATATGAGGCACGATTGTGACACGTTAAATTTGTTATTATATATCAAATATATGAATATTATATTATAAGGTAATAAAAATATAACACTAATTAACATTAAAAATTCATATATTCTATAACTTCAACGTTAAGATGTCATTCACATAGCAATTGCATTATAAAGAATGCAAAATAATTATAGAGTATTAAAATATACATGATGTATTGTCTTATAAATATTTAAAAATATTTTTAAAGTGCACCAGTTGCATTATGAAAAATGCATAATATTGAAATTAGAAGGAATTACTATTCAGTGGAGAGAAAAAAAAAATTATAAACGGGTGGAGGGTGCAAGTTTCACAAGCATAATATTGAAATTAGGGGGAATTATTATTCAGTGGAGAGTAAAAAAAATTATAAATACATGGAGGGTGCAACTCTTCCATGTTTTTGAAAAAAAAAATTTCTTCTGCTCCACTAGATAGTAATTCCCTTTTGTTATTATGAAGGTGATTCATCAAGTAAGTCGTGCTTAGAAAATTTAAGAAGTGAGTAAATTGTTGGATATGTTTTTACAAGTGTTCATAAAGTGTCATGTCTGACATGGATATTTGACATGATGTGTGTCATTGTAATTTTTACTACTTTATTTGTGATTTTTTTTTGCTTTCTCTTCAGACTCCATCTTCTATTTGTTAAATATGATGGTCATGTCTCTTATTGTTGAGTGGGCACATATCACATGGTAGGTTGGACCTATTAGATATTGATTAATGCTTGGGACCATTAGGGGAAACACTAATGAGTTGGCTTCCCCCTTGATGTGATAGTTGTCTCTGTTGTTTTTTTTTTTTTTTTACATTTTCCAACTCATTAGAGTTGTTAATGTCATGTTTTTTAGTGATCTCAATCAATTCGGTTAGATATTAGAAGTTATCTAATAGATTTGACTTGTAACAACATATGTCATACCCTTCGAATAATAAGGAGATACATGACTATTTTATTTTATATTTTTAAAATAAGATGGGTATGTGTTCTCTTTTTATTGGATGAAATCATGTAATTTGGATCTACGTTTTTTCATTTGGGGCCCTCGATGGAAGCCTTTGGGTAATTGCAGCTAGGCAAAGTCACTTGCGAAAATGACGCGATCTCAAAATAATTTTTTGAAATTTTAATTTCAAATTGTTTAGAGAAAATATTTTATGTAGCATGTATGTCATGTGGCTTAGTTGATATGGTGAACTCTTTCACTCATTATTTGTCATGTAATAAAAAAAATGAAATTATAATTTAATATGATCGAACACTCAAATATCTTGAGTCGAGCACAAACTCACTTCTAAAATTTCACACCACATCAGTTGAATCTCCAATACGAAGGAAAAAAATGTATCACATCAGCTTAACCACGTGATAGACATTACATGAAATCTTTTTCTCCTCCCTCCTCACCAATTCTTCAATTGGATTGTTGTTGTTGTAGTAAGATGGTGATAGGGACAGAGACGAGGCAACAGGGAAGCAATGGATGATATACAATACAACTTACAAGTGAGAGACGAAAGAAGCTGTCTTTAGAGCATCTCCAACCACATCTTCTTCTCAAGAGGATGGAAATAATATTTTTTATTTAAAAAGTAAATATAGAGGAGGTCACTATTCATTTAAACTCCAATCACAAACTTTCATTCACTTCATTCAAACTCCAATCAAAAAGTAATTTTTGTTCATTAATAAATATTTAATTTTAAAATTTTTGTAAAACATATTTAATATTATACTCATTTTAAAAGTATAATTTCATACTTTTTATTGATGTCAATTTTATAAAAATTAAATTTACACATTAAAAGTTATTTCGAATCCAATTAAGAAATATAGAGTGAATAGTATTTTATAATCTCCTCTATTTTTTCATCCTCCTTCTATATTTGAAGGATCACATTAAAAATTATTTCCAATACACATTAAAAGTTTTAGAGTCCCCTCTATGTTTTAGAGTCTCCTCTATTTTATTGATGTCATTGAATTGGTCAGTAGTAATCCACTGTATTGATTTGCCAAATCAGTTTAAATGGTTTTTTTTTTTTTTTTTTTTTTGATAGGATTAAAACTTTAATAGAAAAAAAGGACAAAACTTTTGAAATTTGAAATTTTGGGGGATAAAAGGTAATAACGGATAAAAATGAAATTACTCAATAAATTCATAATTCATGCAGCTTAGCCTTTTCTTTTTCTTTTTTTTTTTCTTTTTTTTTTCTTTTTAAACTAAGCTTAGCCATTAGGATTACAATGTCAATTCAGTCATTTCAAATTATCAATGAATTGAGAGGCGGCATATGAATTAATAATTAAGAGCGTGTTCAGGCATACACTTGAAAAAAGGGATCTGGATTCCTGCTATGTTTTTGTTGGAGTATCATCGGAGTCTATTTTAATAATTTAGATTGTTCATATTATTGGATTTATCGAATAGATTGGATAGTTGCAGACTTATAACTAAGTATATTTATTTTTATAAAAATTAACGATTAACATAATTTTCATAAATTTTAAAAAATAATTAAGACATGATCATAAGATTATGAATATCCGATAAATTTAATTTTTTATATAAATAATATATTTGACGAATCCTACAATATCAATATAAATGATTTAAATTATCGAAAAACATTTGAAACAAACTCCCACAAAAGAGCACAATAGGCTACTTGCACAGCAGCACCCCAAGCCCTTAAGAAAGATAGTAATATTTTTTTTTGGAATTTTTTAGTTTTATTATTATTTTTTAAATTATATCAAATTTTTTTCAATATGAATCTAAAAATGTACAAAATATTTTAAAAAGAATTACTTTTAACTTTTCTTTGTCACCAAGTGGGAGACGCACAGAACCCAAAACAACGTTAAAAGGTCCGCCGGTTCTCTCTCCAATCCCACAAATCGAAAATATTAAAACCGCCAAATCACACATTCAACTAAAACCATTGGCCTCTCTCTCTCTCTCTCTCTCTCTCTCTCTCTTTCTTGTAGTTTATTGTCGTTCGCTTTTCATTGTCTTTGTGCATTTTGATCTGAGAGTGAGAGAGAGAGAGAATGGCGATGTCAAGGGTAGTCACCGGAGTATTGGCGCTGGTGGCAATTGTTTTGGGGGTAGTTTGGCCGTCTGCGGAGGCGCATTCCATGGCCCCTGCACCTGCACCTGCTCCTGCCAGCGATGGTAAATTTCTCTTCTATGTTTCTGCATTTTCCATATATATATATATGATTGTATTATTTACACAAGCAAATTTGAATGTTTGAACATAAAACTGTCAGGGCTGATAATCCTTTGTTTTTTTAACTCCCTCTCTCTCTCTCTCTCTCTCTCTGTGTATGTGTAGAGTATTGTTCTGATTACTTGGAATGATGGAAGATTTAGCTATATTTTCAAAGCATCTTGCACTATTTAGATATCTGTTTGTTTCTTTTAGCAAAAATGCTTGCACCATGACATATCTACCCAGATTCTTCAAAAAAATTATAGAATACATACTCCCTATCCAATCATTATTCATCATGTTCTTCCTTCACCTAACACAATAGCTTACCTTTCCATTTTCTTCATCAATCACAATACCCATGGAACAGCACATACATGTCCATACGCTTTAACCAATCATCATTCATCATAGCACAGTACCCTATCTACTTGCCTTCTCCATCAATTACAATATCATGGAGTATCATGTGTTCGTACTCTCCAAGGCTACTCAATAATCACCCAAATTTTTCTGAGTAGAGTGAATGTGTGAATATTGAATTAGTGTAGTCTGTGGTATGAAATGAATTTGAAATATTGATGTGAAATTTGAAATATTGTTTTAATTGTTTTTTGATAGGTAAAAATATTATATATTTTTAAAAGATTTTTTTTGTTAATTTTAAATTTTTTATTTTATAAGTAGATAGATTTTGTTTATAAATCTGTCTCCATTGGATAACTCCTAAAGGTAATGCTTATGGTAATTATTTGTTCTTTTATTTGTTAGGTTTGGAAAAGTTGGAGAAATTATCAGATAAATGGAAAATAAAATTAAAATTAATTATAAATTACTGGATGAGAAGATTATGTCTGCATTGTTATTAAGGGTTATTTATATAGACCTCTTGAATTATTGGAAAATATCATTTTGACCCCTTAAATTATAAAAGTATAGCAAATCTCGGGGTGCATTTGTGATTTACCTGTCTGCTGGTCATCTTTGAAAATTGTCTGTTATTTTCAGAAGTATTTACTTTACTCAATTATCTTGGCTGAGCAAAAAATTGTTTAAATACTGCTCTCATGTGTGTAAGATATGTACTTCTAAAATACAAAACAAACAATACATAAAAGAAACAGAATTTTTTTGTTGGTAATCGCTTGTTCATTTGTTTTCTTCACTTGACGTGTTTTATTTAGGAAAAATATCACTTCAGTATATGTTTAGAAGAAAAAAAATTATATTAATGGAGCCTATCGTAAGCTTGTGAATGTATGTGTCCAGTTCTGTGAGCTGTTTCTGAATTTCTCTTATTCATTTATGTATATTTGACCTTTTTCAGATTAGTTCATCATTGTGATGACACCTCAATGATAGTGATTTTACAAGCTTGGAAAGGTGGTTTTGTAAACAATTTCTAATTAACAACCATATTTTAGTTTTTTGACCATTCATTGTCCCAGTTGTTTGTTCTATAACTGGTGTTTCTATTTATGTTGTTTTAAGTGGAGGATGATTCTTGGAATGGTTCATCGCGTTAGACTCCTCCATTGTTTTTTTTTCCTTTGTCTTCACTTAGCTCCCTTGTTTTATATAGTGATGTAAAATGTTGATAAATTGTTTGTTGGGCAGGCACTACAATTGACCAGGGGATTGCTTGTGTGTTGATGCTTGTGGCTCTAATTCTCACATACCTCATTCACCCCCTGGATGCCTCTTCTTCCTTCTTCTTCTGAGTTGTGTTTTTTTTTCATAGGAGACTAAAATTGAAATAGGGGAGGAAGGGGGAAATGGAATCTGAATTGGATAAAAATGCCTCCTCTTCTTAATCATGGGGCTTGAAGAAATTATTTCAGTGGTTACTCAAACTCTGTTCTTCTTCAGTCTTTTTGTTTGTGTTTTTTCTAGTCTAGATATTATTTTGCTGCAACAATTCTGTTTTTGCAGTTTTCTATAATCCAATTTCATTTGTTCTTCCTATGGGTTTATGTGCACATAATCAATCTTACTCTACCATGGCACTGTTTGGTGGAGCTTTTTTTAAGTTAAAAGTTGATAATTAGAAAGCAGAAGTTAAAAGTGTCTCTATTTCTAGGGATGGCAATTTGAAACCGGCCCGACGGGGACCCGACCCCCCGACCCCGAATGGGACGGTTTTTCCCCGAAAAAAAATCCCCACGGGCCGGGGATGGTATTAAAAAATAAACCCCCGATCATTTTCGGGCCGGGGACGGGGATAGATTTTCCCACCCCGGCCCCGCCCCGGCCCCGGCCCGACTACTCCCCGTATATATCCCCGAATATATATACCGCATATATATGTGTTTAGGTAGGTTATTTAGGACTCATTTCACTCCTCTCTCCCACTCACACTCTCTCATCTCAAGGCCTCTCTCTCCTTCTCTCTGCTGCGAATCTGCCATGCTCAAGGCGATGGCGATGGCGATGGCGTCGGCGTCGGCGTCGGCCGCTCCTCCTCTCTCCCTCACGGCGTCACTCCTCCCTCTCTTCTCTCGGCCTCTCTCTCTCTCTCTGCTGCGATGCTCACGGCGATGGCGTCGGCCGCTCCTCCCCTCTCCCTCACGGCGTCACTCCTCGCTCACGGGGTGTGTTGTTGATCAGATCTGGGTGTGTTGTTGAATGTGAGTTTGTTGAATCTGTTATTAAATCAGATCTGTTATTAAATCAGTTTGTTGAATCAGATCTGTTGATGAATTTGTTGAATCTGTTATTAAATCTGAGGGTTGTTCTGTTGAATTTGTTGAATTTTTGTTGATCTGTTGTTGAATTTTTTGAATTTATGTTATTAAATCACTCCTCAATTTGTTGAATTTTTGTTGAATCTGTTGTTAAATCCATTGTTGTTCTGTGTTGTTGAATCTATTGTTGAATTTGTTATTGAAGCTCTTTTTTTTTTTTTTTTTGGTCGGGGAGGGCGATCCCCGGCCCCGCCCCGCCCCGTTGCCATTCCTATCTATTTCAACTTTCAACTAATTAGCCTATTTAAGCTATTTCTACCTAATAACCTATAAACAGAAACTACACTAAACAGTCTGTCACAAACTATAAATCAAAATGAGCTATAATCATTCCCAAAAGCTGTAACAAATAGTCCCGATGTCATATTGGGCCATGTCATAAAAGCCCTTGAAAGAGCTTTCTTAAACCCTAAATCTAGAGTGTCTTGAAAGTTGAAACATAATTTAAAATCCATTTTTGCTACACTAGGGATGGTGTTTATTTGGATTTGGCATGAACCTTGAAATGAAACAATGCTGGAAATAATATCAAGGTGGAGTGAATGAGAGAAAAAATCAATCCTCCAAACGAGTACCTCAATTCCTTTATATTTGCTCTTTCAGTATCACCATCATCTAACAAAAGCTTAAGCTTCACATTTTTTATTCATTGGAGTTATTTGTTGGATTATTAAATTCAGCATACTGAAATTCACCAAGTCATAAGAATACATTTATTTGACACAAAAATATCATGAGTCTTAAATAATTTCCATTTCCAGAGCATTAGTGTCCCAAATTTGTCATCCCAACTGTCAACATTTTTTTCTTTAAATATTTAAATTAACGACAATGCTACGTAGCTCAAATTTTGTGGCTCAAAAGTGGCTCAAATGGTCAAAACGACGTCGTTTTGAGTACAGAACAACATAAAAATGGCCAAAACGACGTCGTTTTGGCCATTTGAGCCACTTTTGAGCCACAAAATTTGAGCTACGAGACATTTTCCTTAAATTAATTTTGAAAATTCAACTAAAATCTCTCTCTCTCTCTCTCACTCTCTCTCTCACATCCACGAGTTATTGGTCCTGTTTGGTGTAGCTGTTGAAACAGATTATAGATTATGACTTTAATCAGAAACTGTTAATCTGTTTGGTGTAACTGTTGGATTATAGATTTAAGTTGCTGAGTAGTGTTTGTTAAATAAGCTGTGAAATAACTTTTTCAATTAATTTTTATTTTTTATTATTCACTATTTGTCTACATTTCTCATAAATAATAATAATAATATTCTATAGTCCATTTGGGTCTTTTTCTATTTTTAAAAAAATAAAAAATAAAAAAATCTAAGAGTATAACCGTGAATTAACATGTCCAGAGCAGAAACTGATAATCCGAAGCAAGGGGAGAGCAGCTTCTCAGAATCAATTTTTTTGACTTAAAATAAGTTGTTAGAATCAGAAACTGTTTAAAATAAGTTTAACCAAATAGTCCAAAATAACTTTTTAAAAAATAGAAGTCATAAGTTGGCTAAAAAAGCCCCATCAAACACCTCAATAAAATATGTCAATTTTTTTCAAACCATGCTCTTGGGCCTACTTGAGTCCACAGAATGCTTTTCCAAAATTTTCAATCCATTTTTCATTTTCCTTGCCAGATAAACAATTATAGAGAGTAGATGTTATGAGTGAGACTCAATACATTCCAATCGGGAAAAAAAACACTTTTTGAGCCAACTAATCTATCACTCTTTTAATGGTGTTAAACCTTGGTAATGGAGTATGTATTTTTCCTTACTGACCAGGGTTCAAATCCCCCGTCACTCAAGTGGAAGTCTGACAGTTTAGGTGAATCGACTAGCTTTCCTTAGTTTGGCTTGTAAGAGTGAGTCCTAAGAATCCTGCTTTAAGAGTGTTCTGAGTATCAAAAAAAATAAAAACCTTGCAACATGTTAAAACGTTTCAAAGAAATTCAATACTATGAGTTGAAACTTAAGCCTTGTGAATCCCCTTGAGGTTTATTGTTTCCTTCCATGAGGGCAAATCAATAAAGTCATAGATAAAATGAATAATAATGGTATCATTATTATATTTTCATATTATATTATACTTCTTATCTTATTTATCGACCTAATATGATCATATTTGTTTGAATCGATTGAATTAGATGAAATTAGCATTTCTAGGGTTATTAGTGCTGAGATTAACAATTCCTAATTTCCTATGCATTGCTTATCCTTTCACATATTTGACTTGCTTGAGGATTATAAAGAGAGGTTCATAAAATCCTATCAATTTTATAATTTAATTAGTCCATTATTTTGTCCCATTAAATTAATAGTCTTCCATATGGAGAAAAGAATATCATATGCAGATAAACTATTAGACCGAACCTTAATTTTTTTAGACAAACATCAAATTATGTATTTTGTTGAATTTTTAGTCCAATTCCAAAGCCATGACTGCCCAAACAAACATAACCTACTAATATAATGAATTTCACCACTAATATATAAACAACTAGATTGATACGTCACATAGTAAAATAAGACAATAAAAATAGATGGTTATTTTAATATTACTCTAAATGAATCTTTATTCACAAATTAGACCAATTCAGTCCGTCCTTTTAAAAAATACATAATACAAGACCCTGTTCACTAATTCCAAAACAATTTCATTGAATTTAAAATTTTAAAAAAAAAATTACAATTTTCAAAGTCTTTTTACACAAAACTAAACACTAACCAATTGTGATTAATGAGGGATAGCATTAACATTATTGGCAGCCATATTACTTCACATCTGTTGGCACTTCTGCTAAAAAAGCAAGTAAATTAGGGCACGGTAACATTTGTAAAATTATTGTATAAGACGGTAAGAATTTCAAAATACATAAATTTGAAGACAAAATTATATAATTGTGAATGCATCGAATACAAAGTATCAAATTTTTATTTTTGATATAGAGAATATTGTGCCTCTAATTAATTGTAATATATACACATAAAAAACAGCTCACACAAATATTTTAAAAAGAAAAAAAATTGTTCTCTATTCCCTAAAAAAAATACAAAAATGAAAGCAAAATGCTATATAGAAAAAGGCATAAATGATGGGTCCCGACCATGGTGAATCCCACACTTGATAGTTAACTTTCATCTCACATTTATTCTAAAAAAATTTGTATTATTATGGTGTAGTTACTTGATGGAATTCACATTTTTTTTCACCTATTACTATGATCAACACAACATCTAAAACCAACCATAATCAGTGACACATTATTTTTTTCTATAAAAGTTTAGAATACAATAATTGAACTAGTAAATTCAAAACATCTAGTCAATACAACCATGACGGAGAACATCTAGACAGATGGAGTTATTCAAGCCAAGAACAAAAAATAAAAATAAACCAAGCTAGAATTTACACTTTGTAAGCGTATCAAAATAACATAGTAAAGGATACAAAAGCTAAGAAAAATTAAAGAAAATCATTGAACAAAAGTAGTAATAGCATTATGGATGAATAAATAAAAAAGGCCAAGAATGGTGATTGATCACCCAAAAAAATATAAAACAAGTGAAAATGGTGATTCAACAAACTCAATCTAAATGCATCAATTTAGATGGCACATCTTAATATATTTCTGGATACAAAAAGCAAGTATCCTTCCTTCAAAGGCAACCACAAAGGTTGTCCTTTCATTGTTTCACACCACAAGACGTTACAACTTCAATTCTTTCCCCCTCTTTTTCTCAACAAGAAAAGAAAATAATTAACCTAAAAAAGACATCAATTTGATTAATGAACACGATTCCGTCAAAAAACAGAAATAAATAGTTTGTCAATTCATCACAATATACAAAGAATATAAATATATATTGCCCCATAAAGCACCATGAGCCAACATTTCCGCGAACAAAAGCTAGGTTGCTATGAATGATACCCTCTCCACTTCTCTTTTCTTCGCCTACTTTCTTTTTTATGCGTATGAAGTAAAGGATCATGCAATGTAACAATGATAAATATGAAGTTATATACAATGCAGTAGTGTAGTCTTAAATGTTAAGAGAGAACACCAACCTTTCTCCATCAACTGCATCATCCAAAAACTGAACAAACATACATTTTGTATGGGATTTACAGTTTGAACCTGTAGCAAGTCCAACAATTCCAAATTAGAAAGGTTGAACAAATGATCTCAAGATCAAGAAGCATAATTAACATGTTTCCAAATTCTTGAAAACCAACAATTGTACATCATTTGACACTATGTTACAATATTCATAGGAAATCTATATGAGCTCTGTAATGCTTATTGTTTTTATGTCAAGTATCACCACAAAGACATCATCACCAGTACCATCCAACTATCTCTTTAAATATGTTCTAAAGCTTTTCTATACAGAGGGATGCATAAACATTACTCAATTTCCATATGCAACATATTGTCCATAAGAAAATAGGAAACGAAAAAAGTAATTGCAAAATGGATGCAAGTGAGACATGTTATTCCGTATAAGTGAGAACTGTGCAAAAATATTATCTTGATTTGTTTCCCACCATAAAAAATAAAAAAAAGAAAAAACATTGTACAAATTAACAATTTTTATAAACTTTTCTTACTCTGTAAAAAAAAAAATTAACGCCTTGAAATGAGACTTATTATGATAATATAATAGATATTACGTCAAATTTACTCCAAATGACATTAACTGTTTCTTGTTAATTATTGATTTGTTTTGTAGTCAATCAACTAAAACAAAAACCCCTCACCACATCCATTGGTAAATTTGCATTGCACTCAAAAAAAAATATTAATTTGTATAGCATCAATGAAAAGGTCAAACACATAACCAATTGCAAAACTAAACAGAGTCTTCTTATATAAGGCGGGTTTAACTTTTTTGTTTTTATTTTTAGATGGTGAAATTAAACACAATCCTATCATATGAGTTGTGTTCCAGTTTTTTATAGATCCTATATGATTGATTCATGCTAGTAGATCAAATTGATTTACAATTTTGCAATCACATAAACACAACTCTTTCCACAAAATTATGAATTGGTTTGAATGCACTTCAAATTTCCATTGAAATAAACAACAAAACAAAGCATCAATTACTCACCATTTGAACATATAGACGCTGCATTTGGGGACAGCACCAGCTTCAACCTTCTTCAAGCTCACTCCATCACACAAAACCCTAACCCCCACCTTCACGGAGCTCCACCAGTCGGCCGCCACCCCAATCCCTGTCCTCACCTCCGTCCTCACCACCACCCTCTTATTCCTCACCCCTCCCTTCAGCTTCTTCGCCGCAGTGCCACTCTCTACCACCACATTCCTCACCGCCACCGTGAACTTCAACACCGTCGTGTTCTTCCTCCCTTGCCTGAACTCCGGCCTCTTCGCCGTCCCCAAATCCACCCCTTCTCCGCTCAATTCCACCACCGATTTCCCATAATTCAACCTCAAAACAGAGTTAGGATTTCTCACCTCTATCCGAACCACCGCTTGGGAGCTGAGGGAAGGGCCGTCTGGACCGGAGGTGAGTTTGAACCGGGAGAATTTGAGGGATTGGAGGTAGAAAACAGGGAAATGAGGCTGGTAATAGAGGTAGAAGAAGCAGCCGCAGACGGCGGCGAGGAGGAGGAGGAGAAGGAGGATGACGGTGGCGTAGCAGCAGCAGAAGCGGCAACGGCGGCGGCGCTTCTTCCTCTGGTGGAGAGAGAGTGGGAGGACCGGTTTTTTGGTGGGCGGTCTGGGGCGGGGGTAGACCGGGGCGTTTGGGTCTCTGTACCCCGGCGGTTTTTGCAGAACCGGCTTCGTTTGTTCCGACATTGTCGAAAACTTGATTGTTGCCTTTGCTGAATTGCAGTGAAATTGAAATGAAATTCAAAGGATGTTTCACCAAAAAATGGGATTGAATTGAATTGAATTGTTTTATTAGGACATTGTGGAAACTTGAATCGGATTGAAATGGGTTTGGGATTGGAGATTTTGTTTTTGTTTTTTGGTTGTTGAATTGTGGGGAGGGAGGATTTGAATGGTGAAATGAAGAAGATGAAAAGGGTTTGGGTGAAATGAAAGAGATTATGTTTTGGGGGTGAATGAGAGGTGAGATATTGATGATGGGGAAGAAAGAGCGCCCATTGAATTTGAAAGCAAATTGCAGAGAGAGAGGGAGAGAGAGAGAGAGACAGAGGGGGGAGGGAGGGAGGGAGGGTGTTGAATAGTAGTTATTCATAATTTTGAAATATTTTATAATATTATGAGTGGCGAAAAAAATGAGTAAGTAAAGTATTACGTTGAATAATTAAAATATGTGAAAAGATATATTAAATAATACGATATCTTTAGGTTCGTTTGCCGAATAGGTTAATTTATTATTTTTTATATTTATTTGATTAAAAATATAGTAAAAAAAATTACTAATTGTTTGGATATAATTTTTTTACATTTTTACCGAAAAAATGTATAAAAATGTAAAAAAAAATTTCTTTTAACTTATAAATTTGTCTGACTTTTTCTAACTAAATAATTTACTACAAAATTGCAGTTGAACGAGTTAACTCGAGGAATATTAACATTTCCCAAGAGTTGGGTGGTTATTTGGGAGAGAGTCGGAATAATGGGCCCAATCAATGGATATCGAGTCTTTTCTCTCACTCACATTTTCACTTTTTTGTATTTATATTTTAAATATTAATATTATGTCTCTAAATTCTTGCATAAATTGATTTAACATTTTGTCTCTAAATTCCTTGCATTTTAACCCCTGCTTGGTAAGTAATTTTTAATTTTTAATTGAATAGTAAAAAAATAAATCTTAAATTAAATTCACAATTATTTTACCTTTTTCTCTTTAAAAAATTAAAAGAAGTCAAAAAAATAGGAGCTTTTTTGATAAATCCATTTTTCTAAGACTTTATTCCATCCAAACATTTTTTTTTACTATTCATTAGTCCATTGAGATAAGAAGCCAAAATATCAATTTCATCTACTATGTTCCATTTAGGTTCACATTATTTTCTTATGTTTCAATAAGTCTATAGGTGACAATAATTACCAAAATACCTTAATGTGAATGTTCACACCGTAATATAAATGTTTTATCGGTCAATCGGTGTACGGGGCCGCTCATTGTCGCATCCTTTGTAGGTGCCCAGAAATCGAGTCTGGGCTTTTCGGCCGGCAAGCCAAAAAAATAGGCGCCCGACCGGCCCGTGTTATAATATGAATATTCACATTGACAAAGTTAACAGTTCACATTGTAGGAGTATAAAATTGCCTGCGGTCCGTGGGCACCCGAAACCATCCGTCGCCCGGGCGGGCCAGGCCCGGGCGCCCGTTCACAATATGAATATTCAATTGATTATTAGCTTAAATTACATTAACGAAGAGTGTAAATGGCCATGACCGTGGCGCCAGCTCGAACCCGGCCGGGTCCTGGTTCGAGGCGGCGGCCCGACCCCGTTGACAAATGTGAATATTCACATTGACATGTAAATTCACATGATAAGTGTAAATTAGCGCGCGGCTGTGACAAACCCTGCGGCTCGGTGGTGCCTGGGCAGGCCGATCCGCCCGTTGATTAAATGAAATTCTCCAATTGATGTTAATCACATTGATAAGAGTATTAAAATTAGCCCGCCCCCGAGTGGCGCCGAAACTAGCCACGCAGTGGGCGGCCCGGGGCGGGCCCGGACCCGGCCTGTTGACATGTGAATATCACATTGCAATATTAACATTCACGTTGATAAGAGTGTAAAATTGACCCGCGTGCCCATGGACGGCCGGGGCGAGCCCTCTGTCGACGTTGACAATGTGAATTATTCACATTGACATATTAACATTCACATTGATAGGAGTGTAAAATGGCCCGTGGCCCGTGGGCGGCCGAACCGCCGCTGCCAAGGCGGAACTGGCCGAACTCGTTGACAATGTGAATATTCACATTGACCATATTAACTAACATTGATGAAGAGTGTAAAATTAGCCCGTGACCCGTGGGCGCCCGAAGCCCAGGCCGGGCCGTGCGGGCCCGGCCCGTTGAACGTGATATTCCAATTGACATGTTAGAATTCACATTGATAGAGTGTAACATTAGCCGTGCCTCTGGCTGCCCGAAACATGCCCACGACCGTGGGGGCACCGATGTCGGGTTGCGGCTGAGTTGAGTGAGTGTGAGAGAGAGAGGAGGTTCGCGCTGTAGTAACTTCACTTGGGGACACCAGCCCCAAAAGAAGATGAAGCTTGCGACTTTGTATCGTGGGGGAAAGTTGAACCGGGTAGCCGCGTTAAGAACAATATCGCTATGCTCGTACTGGATGATCTGCTTGATGGCGACTTGTAGGCCCAGGCGTCCGTTAGCTTAATTCTCTTATGAAGTAATAGTACTGAGGCAATCAGGTTAGCACATCACTAGTTAAGGGTATGGAGGAGGATATTCCAGCCCGATAGTGAGCATGACATTAGAGCTAGTATATGCGGTAAAATATCTCATTTAGTTGTTCCATTGTTGGATGCCTTTCGGCCAACCAACAGAGCCTGCTCGGAGGCGGTGTCTCCTATGGGTGGGCGAGGCTGTTTAAGGGTCAAGGGCCTAACAATCTCTCAAGAGCTCTCTGGGCTCGAGGAGCTCATTTTGTGGTCGTGTCGTGGAGGCAGGACATCGGACAATAAGTTTTTACTCACACTCTCACCTATCATGTAACTCGGTGTAAATGTCAGAGAGGAGCAGCTCGAGAAAGGAATCAACCTTGTCACGGTCGGGCCAAGCCGCTCGGGCTGCATCCGGTGCATCGAGGTGCCGGCCCACTTGGCGTAGTTGGGCTTCAGAATTTACACGCCCACTACTAAGTTCTAATATATGTGGACTAATAGTAAATGTTTTCGAAGAGTAGGTTATAGAAGTTATTGGCTTCGAAAGAAATTTATCAGTTCTTAGCCCCACTGAAGGCTATGGGCCGGCCGCCATGGCCCAAGGTTGGGGCTTCGGGCTGCCAACAGGGCAAAGGGGTGATCAGCTGAGGGATTCCAAATTGTTACACCACATCATATAATTCGGAGTGGCTGAATGTCTAACTATGTCAATGGAGTGGAGAGTAGCACCTCTAACAATATTGTTAATCAACGAAGTGTAGTTTCTTGGCGGGTGGTCGGGGGTATTCACATCAGTCTGGTCGAAAAGATTGTGTCCTCGTCAGATTACTTGGCCGTTTCGACAGGAGTTTGTGATCCAGGAGGCAAGCCACGGAGGGGGTCAAGTTGTGGTAGTAGTGATTGACTAGGTGAAAAGGAGCTCTCCCTAATCAGATTTGATGAAGCATATGGATTCCACTATTAGGCACTGTTCACACCATGGTGAGATAACTCTTACTGAGTATTGTTCAGTGGATGAGCAGGGTTTTGGCTTATGCCAGATATGACTCAATGCCTGCACAGGGCTTGCTCGGGCTTCTCCGAGGAGGCAATGCGTTCCTACGGGTCTGTGGGCCATAGATTGTTATGATCAACGACACGTGAGGAAGATAGATTGGCTATAATGGCTTAACACAGTCGAGTTTGAATAACGTGAAATTATTGACGACAGGAATTTGTACAACGGCGGGCCGCCTAGGCTTGATCGTATTGGGGAGTCTAGCTTCACCAGCTGTGATTTTTTCCTTGAGATTTGAAGGTGCGGTCCTGTAAGGGTGAGAGATATTTTGAGAGTCAATTACTCTGCTTATTATCAATTAGAAAAGATGTATATAATATGTCGTAGAATGGTATGTAAAATAGATTCTATCTGGTCAAGATTGCAGTGTGATCACTGCGGAACTCGGACCGAGACCGGCAACTGGGTTGCCTGCTATGGGCGCGAAGGCGGGTTCGGCCTGCCACGGGACTGAGAGACTAGAAAATCCATACAGTAGTCAAATTGTGATGACTCAGCTTCCAACGCTTCCATATGCGATTTGAAGGGTTAATGCTTGGGGGATATCAAGTGTGAATATTCACATTGTCAGAAGCCCGTGAGTGAATTTAACTTGCATTTGGGCAAGTTCTGTTAAAGTCCGCAGCCCTTATTTTCCTGTAGTTGCACAACCTACACTTGTGAACTAAGTGTTAAAAACACAGAAAGGGTGACTTTGAAACAGTGGGACGCAGAGTGGCGCAGTTCTGGAAACCCGCCAGCATTTCGCAGTGGGGAACGTGCTGTCTTGATGAATAGTAGTTATACCTTATCATGTAATGTTATACTTATGAACTTGAACGCCATTTCACATTGTCAACAGGCCCGACTTGAGTGTGAGATCCCCGTGACCGGGCCGGGCGCCGCGAGATTGTTTGTGCCGGAGCCTTGCCGACGGATGGGGTGGTCAGCTAAGTTTCGGTAGAGTTTCACTGTTCATAGCTTGCAGCGATGCAACGCCGGGAGGAGGCGTCACGGAGAGCATATGATTTATCTATTCGTACCTACTGCAATGTTTGAAGCTAGGTTTAACAATGTTTGGTCGGAAGGGGTTGAAGAAGTGAATGATGGCATATCACATTGTCAGTACGTGTGGTGTGTATCGAGAGAGGTCTGCACCCGGTGCTGCGGGCCGGAGCTATAGGTGACAATGGCCGATAATCAGAGGCAAGCGTATTGTTTGTAACCCTTGCCTATAGCTGAGTGGAAGTGGGAGCATGTCACGATGGATTTTGTTGGGGGCGCGTCCCCGGACCGGACAGTCCACACTTGGGTTTTAAGTGATTTGATCCATTTGAGTGTAGATAGTTGATTGTTAGGTCTGGATAATCGTCGCAAATTAGGTCATGAGTTTTAATTCCCTAGTGGTCAGGGCAGTCGAGGGACGGGACTAGACCGCCCGGGTTACCGCCCATTTGCGGACTTATATACTCGGGCGGGCGGGTTGATCTACGTCAGCTCGCACGGCTTGCATGGGTCCCTAGTGGACGAATCGGGGTTGATAGCAATGATATATACGTCTCGTTCTCATCTTACTATTCGGGTGAATTTTAACATGTTTGGTAAGGCATGTGAATAGATGCTTATCTTAGAGACAGTGCCTTGGGCACTAAACTGACTTTAGACAGCTTACCTCCTCAGACTGCACGGGAGTCCGAGGGTGGTATTTTCAGATCCTTGAGGATTCTGCTTCGAGGCCTGTGTCCTTTACTTAAGGGGTTTATGGAGAGACACTAACCCTAGTGGGAGTT